ACTAAAATAAAACAATAAAACAACGATATTTTTTGGAAAATCCAAACAACAAAAATATAATAATCTAATTAAAGTAACAAAAAAATTATAACATGTTTTATATTATATACAGTATATATTAATTAATAACATAATAATTTATAGTTGAAGAATTTATTTTATAATTTTTATAAGCAATGTTGCAAGAGTAAATATATTTGTAAATGCAAACATATTTATCTAAAACATATTTATCTAAAACATATTTATCTAAAACATATTTATATAAAACATATTTATATAAAACATATTTATCTAAATGCCTATAAAAAGCTCAGCATATATCATAGTTATTTACATTCTATGATGCCAGAAACAAAATAGTAATTTTTTAATAAAAAATGATTATTCAAAGAAAAAATTTAAGTTTGAGATAGAGTATTGGCTATTTGTACTGCATGACAAAAATGAATCGTGTAACAATTTACTAACATAAAAAGCACCAAAAAATAATCATACAATTCAAAAATAATAAAAATGGGTAAAGATAATTCTGACAATATTAATAACAGTATTGATAATCAGCATCTTAGACTTATTCCTTGTTCAAATGGACAAACAAATGTTGGAGACAATAATCTTCATCAAAACATTGACTCTACTGATTCCACTCATGGAAATTTGGTTCACAATGATTCCATTCAACAAGGCTCTTTTAACAATCTAAGCAATGTAATTCAAATGGGTGTCAGTAATAATGATATCAATGACCAGAACATATCTATTGGTCCAATCAGTAACAACAACAACATGAACATTACTCATCTAAGCTCTGAAGATTCTAATGATTGTCAAAATGATCAAATAGTAATTAGTCGCCAACAACTTCAAGATATATTTAATCGGCAGTTTGAATTGACAGCACTAATTAATAGCATCATTAATAAAAAACAACATTAAGTGTAATAACAATTTATTTATTTTACAATTTTTTCTAATTATTCTTTATATTTATGATACAAGTTGTATTGATCATAATGCACTATAATAAACGAAAGATTTCAAAATTCATTATTGTGTATTATCGTGTTCTGTCAATGTAAGGCTCCGAATCAAATCGAATCAAATCGATACGATCTGTAGTCAATTCGATTCGATTTGGATTCAAACCGGATTCTAAATTTTTCTTATGTCATATTAAATAAATGAATCTCAATGTAATGTACCTCAATTTAATGGATAATAATATATTGTGGTTTAATAATAATAATAATAATAATAATAATAAAATTTTTCTCGATATAACGGATTTCTTGATAAAGTCACAACGGATAGACGGGACACATAATAATAAGAAAAATTTTATGTTTTTATATGTGAAGCATAAATTTTAAAAATCCGTTATTATAAGAATTTAATTATTATTATTATTATAATCCGCTGTAACAAGGTTTGAATATAATAATAACGGATTTTTGGAAAAAATTTTCTAAACCCAAACTATCTGCTAAACCAAGATTGTGTATATTTTAAATTTTTTAATTGA